ATACTTTTGCAGCCTTGAAAGATTTTAATAAATCCGAAGTACACTGGCTTCAAACATGCAAAGAGCATGTAGCAGCTAAATAACCACAAATCTCCCACAGAGAAATTAATATTTTGCATTGATTCCAGTTCAGTGTCAGCAGTAGAGCTTATTTCTGCTGCCCCTTAGTGATCAAATGAGGCAGAGAGTTACAAGCTGGCTCGATCGTAGAGCAGCAAAAATTGCTTTTTGCAGCCCGCCAGGTTTAAGTTTCTCCTTCTCTAAACATCCACTGTGATCTGAAGGGGCAACTTAAATAGATGCTGTTTTAGAGTACACAAAACATTCTGACCAAAATATTTAGTTCTAACTGAACAATTTGTAATCATTTCAGGGACACAGGAAGCAGATTTTCAGCTGCTGTGACTATAGATGTACCTACAACCCCTCTTGCGGTATGGTAACACATGCTGAGATGGCTTTAAAGTCCACTGTGATAGATTTTTTTTGGTTATTTTTGTTAAAAATTGTCCTAAAATTATTTTTGCCATGCTGAAGAATAGTACACAGGTGTAAAAAATTGTGAAAATTAAATCTTAAGCTAATGTTACTGCATATTTTATAATGGAGAGTCACCAATTATTGCTTTAGTAATGGAAATGTGGTTTTTATCTATTCCATTGTCTTATATTGCCCCTGTGACTGAGTGTCAGTGAGTATAGACCAGCATGTTGAATTTAAGGTAGTAAGGTGAAAGGCTTCTGATTTGTTTTATGGTTTCTTCCTTCCTTTGTGTACTTTTCACACTTGACCAATAAAAATAACATCTTCTTCCAAACTGGGTCATGGAGTCATTCATTTATCTTCTTTTCACATCGCAGTCTGAGTGCCCATGAACACCACAGCCTGCTCTACACCAGTCCAACATAATGAATTACAACTTTATCACAATACTTCATTAAGATAAGACTTGATGAAGTTGAAGTTGATGAACAAACTGAAAAAACAAACAAACAAACAAACAAAATAAACGCTTGTTGGTCTTGCCAGCCTAAAAAGCTTCCAAACTGCAGATCCATTACTGTTAACTTATTCCATGTTTTGGTCACTCTTCTGGAAACGGGCTGTTTGCTGCTGACACCTAGTGTGGAAAACACAGAACAACATCACAGCAAATGGAATAAATCTGTCCCCCATTTGCAACATAGATATTTGAATTGGAGCAAATATTTATCTTAGATTCCTCACGTGGTCAGAAACTACGAGTGGAGCCTGGTGTTGCTAGACAGGTTATCCACATGAACATGCATATCATGAGGAGGGTTTGGAATAAACCCCAGAATACTCAACAACGGCACCATCAAGAGGCTGTATCACAACCTGGTATAGCAGTTGTAATGCTCTGGACCACAGAGGCAGCTTTTACACAAAAGCCATCAGGCTACTGAACTGCTGAAATATCAGAATGTTTATAGACAGGTTGTTTACAGGTTGCTTCTGCTGACCCTTAGTGGCCATTTGAAGGATGGATAGATGGGTAAGACCCGCCCTCTTCTCATTTCTCAAATTGCACATTCTCAGTTCCTCTCTTTGACTCCTCTCCTCCCTCCCACCGGAGAGTGATCAGGAGACGAGAAGGTGTTTAACTAAATGAGTCATCCTTGCTTTGTCGCTTCATTTTAAATTG